TGGGCGCAGCCCCGACTCTCCCTAGCCGATCATATCAGCCATAAGGCCATGATCTAAAGGGTATCAAAATTTACAAAAAAAAAAAAAAAAAAAAAAAAAAAAAACTCAATATTTGTTTGTTCCATTTCTTTCAATTTAAGTTGTTTAAGTTGCTTCTTCTTTTTGTGCTAATACTTTCTCTTTAATTCTGTACACAGACATAACCTCTTGTTGAGTTACATTGTTGAAGTCCTGTAACTGCTGTTTCAAGAATTCCGACTAACTTGTCAATCGAAATTTTCTCGTTTTCAGTAACTATCACTTTCTTCACTATCGGTAGCAATATTTCTGGATCTAGAACCATACTACAGATTTCACCATTCATTAATTGATTGATGTTTGAGAAACACTGTCATCACAATGAAAAACTTCTTTTATATCATCTTCATTTATTACTGCTTCTCCAAATTTCTTTACAAAATCCGTTAATTTCACCTTTGTTTTGGGATATCAGAAAACCTTTCAAATTAGCGGCTATCATCATCGAATTTAGCTATCCTTCACTATACACACTTGGCTATGCATCATAAGCTTGCAACTAACAACAAGTTGTTCCGTTAAATTTTATCTCGCTTCTATCGCGCACTGAGACAATTAAGACTGAATTGTATTAGTTCAGTTATTTATTATACTCATGTCTATTTCTCGAACATGCTTAAGGCTTATCAGTGTTCTGAATAAATAAATTCCTACAAATATTTAAGCCTTTTTGAGGTCCGGCACTAAATATCTTAGCTCCTAATGCGGTCTCTGTGGGTCCTAAATTCTGCGACTCGGCACAGCCATACGGGCACTGGTTCTGGATTTATATGAAAAACAAATCAATTATTCTTAATTCAAATAGCCATAAATGTAATCTTTGGGTCCATGAGTATCACCAACAAAATCTATTTTTAGCATATGAAAAGAAATATTTGGTAAATTTTTTCTCGTCAACATTTTTTAGTGCATTTAACTTAAATCTGTAATTATTGCCAAGCGTAATGTCAACATAAAAGGTTACCATACTCCTTTATTATTCAATTACTAACATAAATAAAATGTTTAGGCACTGCTACACAAGTGATTACTCAAGTTGTCATGTTTTGATAGACATGCGGTGATGAAAGGAAAGTATAATAAAAATAATGATTCGCCAGGTTGGCGTCAGATCAATGATGCATCTACGTGGAATGTTTTCGTTTCAGATGAGTGCCAAGCAGATACGCAGCAACAGAGCCAAATTATGAATCATACAAATTTATGCTAAAATGATTGTTTCTTCAATAACAAGGTATTTAATTTAGCGTCAAAGTAAGATTAAGAATCGGAACTCTCCAGATGTTTTATTATGCACGGAAGGGGTAATCAAATGCGCATGTATAAAGCCTACCAGAAAAACTTTGTTGGTGGTTTTGAGTTCCGGATTTTAGATCATTCCCGATAATGGACGTCCAGATTTTGGACTTTGTACTGTATTATAAAAGTAATAGGTATTACTCTTATATACGGCCTCAAGTCGCCAAATGTGTTCTGCTCTGGTTTTTGGTGCGATTGCATGTTCTGCGATGGTTTGGGGGGCGATGCTGTTTGTATGGCAACACTTTTGATGCTGAAACTTGATTTTACTGTAGTGGTTTTATTTGCTGGTTGGTTCGATTGATAAACGCTTTGAAATGGTTTATGTTGCAATGAAAGACCTGGTGGCAAAATTTCAGTCACGTGCCTGGTACAACTATTTTTTCGGACGGCTGGAATTTCTACAAAGATTTAGGAAAAGAAAGTTTTGAACATTTATTTGTGAATCATAATATTAATTTTGTGGATAATGAGTCTGGCTGTTATATAAATATGATAGAGAGTATGTGGCGGCATGTTTAATCTGTGTTGCCTACTTATAATCGCAATTGCAGTTTTGAGTTTTATTTGATGGTTTATGTTTTTCCATTACTGTTCTGAAACGGGAGAAGATCCTTTCAACAAATTTGTGGAAATTCTAAGAACTGTTGACTGGAATAAATTAAAAATTTGTTTGTAAAATATTTGATGAAAGTGTTTGTGGTTGTTTTGAATTGTCGCTTTGCTGATGTTTGAAATTGATATTTCTGCTGTCTGAAAAAGCATTCACAATGATAAGTGCATTTTTATTTTATTGGTGGCGTATTTAATTACGGCAAAGCACACTTGGGCTATCTGCCTAAGGAGAGGGATGCCTTCATGGAGGACTTTCTAAGGGAAACAGGCTCATGTACACGTTACACCATGGGGGAAAACCACGAAAACACCCATGCAGCCAGCCCGTTCGCGGGATTCGAACATCGGACCGAACTATCAGTGTTCAGCGACTTTACCGCTCGGCCGCTGATGGGCCTTTATTTTATTGTTGTTCTTATTTTGTAGAATTTTATGGTCATGGTTTTTTTGCTATGAATTTCTGTCGTTGTCGTTTCTTGAATTGTCTGTAATTTATTTTAATTTATTTTCTTGATTTGTGCACAATGCGTACATTTGTTCAAATCTCTGATTTTTTTTAAGTTAAAACAGAATGCTGTGTACATGGATTCTTGTCAAATATTTTTGGTTAGAAACTTTACGTTTTTGCTATCCAAATTTTTTGTTTTTGTTTCGGACTTCTGGGTAAATTGTGTGTTAAAAATGTGGTTTTTGCAGACATTTTAGGCTTTAAGTTCGAAATTTAGACAAAAAATTTAGATAGTAATATGGCGCCGAGGAGTTTCTTGCCAAAAATATTTGGTGAGAAATTTGTCGCTAACCAAGGGCATATCCAAGAGTAGTTCCTAGTAATATTGTAATAGTAGTATTTACAATATTAAATTACAAATCACACATAAGAACAAAATGAAAAGTGTTACACACATTTCTTGAATTACGTGAAAGTGAATTTTTTTATAAACTGAAAATTTCATTGGTGTTCTGGTTAACTTTTGCCTTTTTCTGTACTATTTCAAATTTTGGGACGATTATTACAGATTTTTTAATACAGAAAAATGAATGAGAGTATTATGCCACATTACATCATTTATTACATTAAACAAGCTGCACATTTTTTCCCTCGAAATGCTTAGAATTATGCAAAAATTGCATACGAAGTTACATGTGTATTACATGTATGAATAAACAGAGTTAGTTCATCATAAAAACTTATGAAAAAATTATTGATATAACGTTTAAAAACGTAATAATATTCTATCACGTATATAATGAGACAAACACAACAATTTAATTTGAAAAACTACCATAAAATATATATTTTCTATTTTATTTCAAACAGTTAGATTAAAAAACCTAAATCACTCTTTTAATTCAAAAATCGCTCACATCGGATACAACTGTGAATAACATTTTTTGGAAGAACTTCCGCAGAGAACCCGGTAAATGTAAACATCGCCAACTTTGGTGATAATAGTTTAAACCTGGTAACCCAACGGATTTGTCCTATTCGCTAGTTCGAAGTTTGCAAACAACGAATAGTTACACACATTTCTTGAATTACGTGAAAGTGAAATTTTTTATAAACTGAAAATTTCATTGGTGTTCTAGTTAACTTTTGCCTTTTTCTGTACTATTTAAAATTTTGGAACGATTATTACAGATTTTTAGAAATATTTTCGTAGACAGATGCCAGTTCTCGGTTCGTGAAAGGAAGGGTGAATGATAATTTGTAACACGGCGGCTGTTCACGTTGTGTTCTTAATTATTAACAGCTCTAAGAACCATGAGGTTTTCAACGTCTAAAATTTGTTTTCGTAGACTGCAAAAATGTGCATGTGCATTTAAAATATTAAATAATGCTTTTATTTTTATTATTGGTTATTGTCATCTAAAATTCTGAGAATAAATCAATTTTAATGGCGTAAAATTTTAACAAGATAATATATTGTTAATGCTTTTCTAACAATAACCTTTCAGAGGATGGCAGGTGTGACATAAATAGATGATTAAATTGAAATAAAAAAATATTATTGATTATCTAAGATGACAGAATAGTTTGATGCATCACTATGGTCATCAAAATTAGCAAACCACTGCTGGTGTAAGGAATATATTGTTTTCTGTGTTAACTGGAATTTAAGACAATTTTTTTTCGTATATCACGTTTAACCGGTAAATTTCAGTATATTAATTCTAATTTATATTTTTTAAATGAATTTTTATTTCTGTTATAAATGCTTATATATTGTCTTGTGCTTAATAATATATTCTTTTCTGTGCTAATTTAATACAAATTTATTTTCGTATATCACGTTTAACCGGTTAGTTTTACATTTACATGCTTATCATCTGTGAATTTTTACTACTATATGCTTAATATATTGTTTTATCTGCTAACTTGAATTTACATGCACTAAAAATCACGTTTACGGCTCGGCTCATCGTTAGCTTGGCGAGTAAAAATGTAACGGCGCCAACGGGTTTTCTGCGGATGAAAACCCCATTTTGGAAGTATGTAAACTTTTCAGAGTACTAATGCATTTTTATAAATAAAACTACTTAGGTCTGTTTCCAAGCACATTCAAATAATTACATGTGACAACATATATGAAAGAAAATTTGTGCAACAAAAACTTCAAAAATTTATCAAAAACTGCGTTAAGTAAGAGCAAAAAGGGAATTTCGGATTCCATGTCAGGACTGCAGATTACGGTTTCATTTCGGCAACATGCATATTCATCATCAATATTAAAACTGAAGGCATGCAGTTTCTCGTTCTGTCAACAGAGTAATCCAACCAGCGTTACGTGACTGACACTCAACACCAAATCAAAATCTCCCTTCTGCATTACGAAATAATCATTAGTCGCAAAGTAATCAACTTACTAATACAGAAAATTAGCCTAAAGTTCCAAATAGAACAAACTCCAATAAATGGAAACTATGACAGTTTCTTGAATAAATTTTTCCACCATAAACTAGTTCACAAACTTTATAATATCCATTAAACAAATGAGAAACATACATACCTGTTTAATATACATAGTGTTAAATTTCTCCTGCTAAATCATTAATGTTTTTTATAAAAACAAATAGCAACGAAAGCAACATTTAACTCTCGGTATGGCGGGAAATGAACGCTACTGATGCCATACTCAAATATTTTTAAATGAAATGGTATAATCGACGTATGTAACGAACATTCAATAGAAGATACTTTTCTCACAAGTCCAGAAACATTATACTACACAAGTTCACAAACAAAATCATTTTGTTGTAACAAACTTCGCGACCTCATCGAAACGCAAATAATTTCAACAGTTGTAAACAGCTGCGTAGATTATTTCGGTAGTATTTTCCAACTTTAGATATAAACAAGTATATGAATCTGGCATCCATAAATATCTAACGAATCACGTTGAATAAAATCTTTAGGGAAACAAAACGTCAGGAAAAAAAAAAAAAAAAAAAAATGAGGGAGACAGAAAGCAGCCGCATCCATTTTCTTAGTCCACTTCAAGTTTTGGATAAAAAGCAAAATAACACCCTCTCTTGTAGAAAAATCTACATTTTTATTCAAGCATGAAACAAAAGTGTACACTACTCTGCATAAAAGTTAATAAAAATTCATTCTTTGTCAGTATTTTACCTCATATAATGTGTCAATATAACTGGTTAGAAGCTTGCAAAGCAATGACAAATCAGATAATATTTACAAGAAATATAAGAAAATCGCACTTTAAGGAATTCATATTACAGCATAGTGTCCCAAAAAGTGTTTACCATTAAAATCTTCCAAATTTTTTTTAATATAGAAAAGCACAGAAACTTTTTTTAAATGATTCTGTAGTAGATTTAAATATCCGTAAATATTAATAGTTTGATATGGCATAAATCAAATAAGTTTTCGTTTTATTTATCAAATAATTTCATAAAAATAAATCAAACATTTAAAGATGCGTTTATTTCTTTCAAACAGCTTATTTTGGTTAATCTGTTTAAAACTATTTAAATCTGAAAAGTAAAATAAACTAATTTATCGAGTAGAAGCATTCTAAAAATAGGCTACGTGCGATGACGAGTGGAAAATAAAGATCTTTGGTTTCGTGCACTGGCAATAATGACTAAAGCTAGTTTTACATTTCTTTGTTATCATCCCAAGATTGGCCTCATTTGTGGTGTAATAAATTACAGAAGTAGCAAAATAAAACGACTAATACTCGAACTAAGATAAAGAACAATTACTTCTCATTTCCCATGATACGGCACAATGTGGCAGACAGCATACCTCAATATGTAAGTAACTGCGTATTAAAATTGAAATAAAGAACGCTGATAAGTAAAGAAATGTGATTAAAGTACTTAAGTAAAGAATTGCGAGCAAAGTATCCAAGTAAGTAAAGAAATGCTCAATGCAAGTAAAGAATTTTTAGACTTTCTGAAGAATTATGCTAACGATCAGTCCAGTTTTAGCATATAACGAGCAGTCTATACCATACATAAACGAATTTTCTGCAGAGCGTTCTGTACAAGCAAAAGGAAATCATGACGCTTGCGCAACAGAGCTTAAATTTCTTAGAAATAATTGAAAGGCACCACAAGAATGAATTCTAGTAGCAATGCATAATTTTGTGGTAGAAGTAAAATAATAATTTCCAGCACTAGCAGAGAAATTATTATACAAAATATCAAATAAGTGCACTGCTTTTTTTTTTATGGAAACGTCATCGTTGGCGAAAATCTATATTTTCTGAGCGAGGTCACAGTCTGTATTTGATATTAGAAATCAGTATCTATCTTTGTAGAATTCCAGCTGTTTTGCTATAAAAACATCTCTTGTGACGTTTATATTAGCAAAATGTTCTTTACATGCATGCTTAACTTTGATCAGTAGCTAATACCAGTAAACTGGTAGCGAAACTTAATTTACTTATAGAGTTTACTGACTGATCTAACACAATCAGCAATTTGAATGCAATGTCCAAAACGTGCACAACGCAGGTACTTTTGATTGGATATGGAGGATTGTAGGGCCCACCAGCGGCCGAGCGGTAAAGTCGCTGAACACTGGTAGTTTGGTCCGAGTTTCGAATCCCGCGAACGGGCTGGCTGCATGGGCGTTTTCGTGGTGTTCCCCATGTGTAACGTGTATACGAACCAGTTTCCCTTAGAAAGTCCTCCACGAAGGCATCCCTCCTCTTAGGCAGATAGCCCTCGAGGCTTTGCCATACACACACACATGGAGGATTGTAGTAGCTTTGTGATGGACGCTCTATGGTGCGTACAAAATTATGAACGACCATGGAATGCAAACTATCTGTTTGCTTACAAGTTTCATCAAGAGCTTTCTTCCCAAGCACCAAGACAAGATAACTTGTATCTATAATTTGTGTATCTGAAACTGTTCTTGTCTATTATTTATGTACCTTTCTCTATTTATTTCTTAAAATTTTCATTCTAAAGAAATCACCGAGGACATTTTTTACTCTAAGACATCTTTCTGGTACTCTCTGAAACTCTGGGAAGCACTGTCTACAGTAGTAGCCTGGAATAAAACCCTTGATGTAATATCAGAAGCTTCTAAATTCTACTATCTTTTGCACTTCTACATTTATGAAATTTTGCTGTCCTAAATTCTGCCACACTGGTTGCACTTTCTATGGTGTCTGCTCCTATGCAGACGATCAAATTATTTCATAAAGCATAAACCACTGTCTTTTCATTGTTTTTTTGAAGCCAAGTCATAATCCCTGATTTTTCATAATAGTGACCAATTTACAGAATCCACTTCATCGATATTGAAAGAAACAGCTTTACATAACCTGATTATTTGTCCAAGAAAATGTTATGTCTGTCCTTGTTTCTCAGAACTGAGGCTTGACGGGATATCGTGTATTCATTGGCAAAGATTTAGTTTCATATTTGGCAACTTCATGTAACCTTTTTTTTATTTTGAAAATAAGAAGACGAATTTATTTGTATGTATTCCTCTTTCATATTGTAAAATACGTTATATGTTTTTTAAATCTGTAACGTACTGCATGTTAAACTCTTCTTTAAGTGCTTATACTGTATTTTAATCTTTTAAAAATGATACTTTTTCCTCCCACATCCCATTATATTTTTCTGCTTGATCGACTCGTTTATCAAAGTTCTTTTTGAATTGAATTAGAAAGGATGTGTTTGCCTGAAATGCAAGTGATACAGGAAAAGGAAAAATTAATCGATAGTTGCACAAATTAGTGTGTGTCCAGTAAAAATTAATGCACAAAGCTACTACAATCCTCCATATCCAATCAAAAGTCCCTGCCTTGTGCACTTTTTGGACATTACATTCAAATTGCTGATTGATGTACTAATTGTGGTTGATCAGTCAGTAAGCTCTATAAGTAAATTACTTCCAGATTAATCGAGAGTTGTACAAAGTAGTGTGTGTCCTTTATCTTATTATGCGATAGCCATGCAGCCGTCAAGTTTTAATTTTCAAGAGAAGTAGTGCTCGTTACTGTACTATTCTGTTATCAGAACCGGATTAAAAAATGTTTGCATGTATGTGTTCATGTATGAGAGTTTATATCTTAAGTACGTATATGTGTGCATACATGAATACATTTCTGAATCTAGTCCCGATAACAGGAGTACATTCATTGCATGTGCAAAACTGGAAGTGACAGCTGAGGTAACGTTTTAAATTATGTGCGAAATACTTTCAAGACTTGGCTTATTTCGAGTTAGGGGTTTAATTATTTTGCAGAGAATTTGGCAAATTTTTGGTACTCTTTTATTTTCAGAACCTGAGATAGAAATGTATAGATGGATGGATGTATTCATGTATGCACATACTTGTGCATATTTAGGGAAAAGTGCAGAATCACCCACTGCTTGGTGTGTTTTTAAGAATTGCACATACTCTGTATCCATGTACACATCGGCCTATTTTCACTTAAAAAAATCCCACAATTACACAAAAATGGCATTGCACACTCCCTTGACATTAACCATGTACACATCGACCTATTTTCACTTAAAAAATCAAAGAAAAGTGACAAAAATCTAATTTTTTTTACTTTTGTAAAAAGTGCCAAACAAATAAGTGGGCGATTCTGCTACCACATAATGGCACAGCTTCAGTATAGCCCACCCAGAATTTTAACCAAAAAATATTGCCAAGAGCGGCGATAAATGATATGATGTGGTAACCCATACTATTCGCCAAACGCAATGTAAACAAAAGGATGGCATTACGGTTACTGCTAATATAGTAGTCAGTTACATTTATTCAATTTCAATACAAATTACCGAGATATCCATTTACTCATAGTTAAATGCACGTGCCAAATTCCTACAAACATAAAATTCACAAAATAACTATCATTTAATTAAAATATCACTAAACCATGTACACGTCGACTTATTTTTACTTACAAAAACATCCCAGAATTGCACAAAAATGGCATTGCGCACACTCTTCACTATATCCATGTACACTGCTTTTTTTCTCATAAATTAGAAAAATTTCACGAAAATGCATGAAAATTTTGTGAATCTTTGAATCCGGTAAAAAGAACATACATGAAATTACCTGATCGCGAAAAAGTATATACCCTTGCCGAAGATGAACATTTCCACGTATAAAATAAATAAAATATCCAAAAACTTTTACCTCTAAATTATCTATTATATTATAAATGTCACCAACGAATTCATACCGCAAACATTACAAATGGTTACAAATACTTAGTGTCAAATATTTAAAGGCTAATCTTTGGAATATGGTAACAGGTAGTTTGGCGACATTTTAGTAAGGCGATAAAGGTTACTAGCTAGAACTTTAGCAGTGTACATGGATAAAGTCAAGAGTGTGTGCAATGCCATTTTTGTGCAATTTTGGTATTTTTTTAAGTGAAAATAGGTCGACATGTACATGGATGATACCGTGTATGTGCAATTCTTAAAAACGCGGCAAGCAATGGGCGATTCTGCACTTTCTCCCAATTTCGCACCTAATCTTCGTCATGATTAAGCACTTTTGTTCCATAAAAGTTCTAGCATAAGCATAATTTGGCTAGCAGATTGTTGAAAAAAAATGTTGAGTAAAAAAAAAAAAATGGCTTTACTTCTTGAAAACAAAATGGCGTCCAAACAAAAACTAGCAGGTTGCTGTAGCAGGGTTGGTCGCCAAATTTTCGCCAAAAAATAACTAAGTTACCATAATCCAAAGATTAACCATCTTCATTTATATGTAATTAATTTACATGGGGTAGAGTATACTTTAAGGTACCCCTTGTATTATGGCGAAGTTGTTGGTTGATTTACCGCCAAGTTGTTGTTTCATTTATCGCCAAGTTGTTGTTTCATTTATCGCCAAGTTGTTGTTTCATTTAGGGTAGCCTGAGTATTTGAATGTTATGGAAACTCTATTGTGACGTAATCGGGTGCATGATTCTTGGAAATTTTGAATCGTGGGATGTTTTGTAAGCGTTTTTGTGGTGTGTGTTGGTTTGATTCTTTAGATGATAGAATGGCCGAATGTAGTGAGATTAATTTGAAGTTTCTGTACGATTTGGAGTGAAAGGGGAAAAGAGCTTTAATTGACTGATGTGTAAATGAAGGTTTACTTAGTAGCCATTATAAGTGCCCTGTATGTAGGAAGGATATGCGTCTAGTCGAACGTACAAACCATTTAGATGGATTTAAATGGGTTAGTAAGAAGAAAGGTTCAGATGGTCACTATGTGAAGCGTTCGATCAGAAAGAGTACCAGGTTTGAAAAAAGTCATTTGAGTATGATTGATATTTTGATTTTTACGTGGCTCTGGGTGTACGAAAGGAACTTGAAAATATGGTAAGTGAATATTTGCTTTTGGTAGTGCTTAAATGTGTAACATGTTTTTCCTTTTTTACGTTATTTTATCGTTTGGTTTAAAATGTAATTTATTGACATTATGTATTTTTTATTTGCCTATATTGTAGAATTTGGTGCTCCTTTGACTTTTTAAGTGAAAATATATTGATGTGCACATGGACAAAGTAAAGGGAGAGCGCAACACAAGTTTGTGCAATTCTGGGATTTTTTTAAAGTGAAAATAGGTCAACATGTACAGTCAAAAGTCGTTAATCCGGACTCATCGGGACTTCGGCGATTCCGGATTATCGATTTTTCCGGATTATAGATCATCAGTTTAAATTTCATAAGATGGCATGCAGAAATTCTAAAATTAAAAATATGAAACTGTAATTTATGAAATAAAGAACAATTATGATCTAAAGGGTATCAAAATTAAAAAAAAAAAAAAAGTTTTATGTGATAATACTTTCTCTTTAATTCTATAAACAGACATAATTTCTTGTTCAGTTACAAAGTTCCGCTGTTCAAGTCCCGTTAATTGCTGTGCCAAGAATACCGACTAACTTGTCAATCGAAATTTTTTCGTTTTCACTAACCTCTCTGTCACATTCTTCATGTCTTTATCCATTTTTTGCAGCAATTCCACTTTTTGTTTGTTGGACATCGAAACATACTTTCGTTTTGTAGATCCTTTGGAAGTTCCAGCATCGGAAATTCTATTTGACATAATCGAAAGTTCAAGTTTACTTTTATAAAATTGCTCTTACAGTCTGCAAAAAATAATAAGCGCGATCCAATTGGAAGATTAAGGAACAATGCAATCATTAACATTAACTGAAATAGATAATTAGATAATTTTAGCTTACACTGTCCGTTATACATTAAACGCGCAGGCGAAAACGTATTGTGCACTTGCGCACACACACATGCGCAGTAGTCAAGGTCTTACGCGCACGCGTAAAACGCCTGTGCGCATGTGCCAACGCGGCGCATGCGCAGAAAGTTTTTAGCTTTCGGATTATGGATTATGGGTGTCCGAATTAACGACTTTTGACTGTACATGGATAAAGTCAAATGAGGGCACAATGCCATTTTTGTGCAATTCAGGGATTTTTTTTTAAGTGAAAATAAGTTGATGTGTACATGGATACCGAGTTTGTGCAATTGTTTGTATTGTTATTTTGGCTTTGTGCCAAAAACCGCCGCTTCGCATGCCAAAATAACCAGTCAAAGAATTGCACAAAATCTGTATCCATGTTTCGCCAAGGGGTTCGCCTAAACTATATTTTTACTATTTACATGTTTAATTTGTAATAAATTTGTAAATAAACTTTAGTTGCAAGATATGATTTTTTTTGGTACTTTTCTGTTAATGAGGTGCCAGTTGTCAAAACTTATCAAAACAGCAAATGTGGTTGTCCATTTAGAGTGCATTATAAATGGCAGTGCAACGATAACTATGAACAAGTAGAAAAAAAGAAAATCAGTCCATGAATTTTTTTGTAGATTTTTAAATGAATTGGCAGCAGCAAGGTACAAACACTTGTAAGTTAACTGCAAATATATTATTGATGCCGTGCAGACAGTAAAAAAAAAAAAATTTTTTGGTACTATTTCGTTTCGAGGACCGTAAAAAATTTGCAGCGAAAATGCATGCGCAAAAGCGCCAAATCTAGCAACTGCACCCATTTTAACAGTGCGCCGAATCTATAGTACATGCTGATTTCAGATTATGTAAGTTTAAATAGTTCTATATTTCTTAAGAGGCCATTAAAATACTAGTTTAATTTTTAAATCCTTATTTGATATCCTATGGATGTAACAATTTGGGAATTGCCCATGACGAAAAGTCTGCAATAGAATTTTAGATAAAGTGCAGAATCACCCACTGCCTGGTGCGTTTTTAAGAATTGCACATACTTGGTGTCCATGTACACATCAACCTATTTTCACTTTTAAAAAAAAAATCCCAGAATTACACAAAAATGGCACTGCACACCCTTGACCTTATCTATGTGCTCTTAAAAAATAAAAGAAAATTGCTAAAAATCCAATTGTTTTTACCCTTTAAAAAGCAGCAAACAAATAAATGGGTGATTCTGATTTATCGAGAATTTTTTCAAAGAAAAGG